ATAACTGCGGTGAAAATCTTCCTGGCACTCGATTTGCATTTCTTTATTCAGATAGTGTCATGCCTTTGTTGTTTCCGTAATGAACTATTTAAAATCAACGAGCAGATTGTTCGAAGTCAGTCGTCTAGAACATAAGAATCTTTCCAGCGTCATTGAACGAATTATATAAATACGAAAGTCGTTTCAGCTTAGCAGTAGTCCTGTATTTTTTAAAATATGCCACTATACAATTACATCACATTTATATTTTTATTTGCATCTGTGCAAATATGCAAATCTATTGTAAATATAATTGTAAATATAATGCAAAATTGTACAAACGATAATTTGCATACCAGTCAAGCTTTGCATATTCTATCTACATATGATTTTCGCATTCGGTTTGATATGTTTAGAATATACATATTGTGAGCAAAATTTCACTAAAATTTCACTAAAATCATGCGCCAAGAATAATCGAATTATCCTATTTTATTTGAATAGATTAACAAGATAACAGAATTTATATAGTTAATTACTTACTTTTAACTACTTTTAACATTTTCTAAGTCAGATTATAATTGGATGGATCTTGTAATTCTTCCACTAAGTGGGCGCGGCTTGAAGCGTATCGCTTAATAAAGTCAGGGCCTTTTTGTATCTTTTGATCTGCTTGTATTTTTCTATTACTAATCTCGAATTATGTTGTTACTATTAATATTTGCTTTTAAGATTCATTAGTAATCATTCATACGATTCATTAATAATCATTAGTGATTATAAAATATTAAAATATTTTAAAATATTAAATTTGTTAACATTTATTATTTAATTCTTTTTGATTAATATTTTATTGACATAATTGCTTTATAATTTTAATGAATATCTTTATCGACATTTTATTTCAAGCAAAATGAAGTATTAATTTTAAATATTTAGTTAAAAATTTATTTTGCAGCATTGACAGTAGATTACTGATTACTTATGTTGAGAAGTTACCACTTATGTAAATTACTACTTATGTTGAGAACAATCTATTATTACGAGTCGATCGCAATTTATGAGAAAAATCAACACTAGTGTAATAACGCAGATAATTACATTAAAATAATCAACTACGGTTTATAAATAGTCAATGATTATTTGGCGTTATCTTAATTTAAATTTCCTCATAAACAGACCGCAACTATCACATCATTATGTCACTAGTAGTCATCAAAGATGTATCATAAAATATACTAACATAAATGTACTAAATATAGCTGAAAAATTTTATTTATAACATTTGTTGCAAACTAAGCTCAAAAATATTTGTTTAGATGTAAAAATAAAGTGAGATAAGAAGTAGTCACGGTAATCATCATCTTATAGCATCATCTAATTTTTATAACAAACAATGTCGTCAGCAGACTGCAGCAGATTTATGACACTACTGTGATTATCATCACGTAATACTTATCTATACAATCATTAACATCTTATACAATCATTAATGACCACAAAATATATACAACCGGATTAGAGATAAAAAAAAGTGAAAGAAAAGAAAACGAGTTAAGTACATTTTTTATTCTTAAAATACGCACTTTAATATTGAAAATGTTATATAATATTTCCTAAAGGATTCTAAATTTAATAGAAATTTTTTTTAAATTAAAAAAATAAACATAATAAAAGAAAACTCGATCTTAAAGATAAAGAATAAGAGAACTCTTAAGCTCCATACCAACGTGACGCATGATAGTCAGGGACGCGGTCATGGACACAGAAATATTTTTAAAGAATGCCATAAGATGCAGACTGCTATTAATGATATGCGGATGATAAAAATTCCTGGAACTAGCAATAGCCGGATCCGATTGAATCTCTGTTTCTCAAATTAATCGAATTACTCGAATTAATCAAATTAATTTCTTTCTTTTTGCGTAAAACGTACATTAAGTACTCCTTGTTTTTAAAGTATATTACATTAAAAAAATGCATAAATGGGAATTATGAAAAAATAGAATTTAACCTTAAAAATTGAGATTGATTTCTGTATTAGTGTACGTTTCCTTGACTCTCTATTTTGTTATTATTGAAAATAGTACAGATTTAATAGTATAAAAATTATATCGCAAAGATTGTAATCGAAAATCTTCGAATCAACTAAAATTATTAAATACTTAAATATTGAATACTTAAATCATTTTAATTTAATTTTAATAAATTCAAGCATGATATCATTTTCTTCATATCCTCACAGAATAAATTAGAATAAAAAATTATTTGCAATCGATCTTGATTTTAATAATATTCTAAATTGACGTTTTTTTTCAAATTTTGTTAATTATTAAGTAAACATTATTCCAGATTAAAATTTTCAAATCTTAAAATTTATAGGTGTTTAATCGTTTAATTGTATAATAGCGACACTTTCAAAATTATAATTTTTATTTGGAAGACATTTGCAAGAAATTTGCTCTATTTGTTCTATTAGAAAATGGAACACATTGATAGCTCACCGTAGGTATAAACGCAAAATAGAGCGATTATTGTCGCGACGATCCACGAGATTCTCACAAACATCTTGGAGATTTGCTGATTCGTAAGGAGTGATGTCTATTAGCGCACTGGTCGAGACTGGTTCGAGTTGCTCTCGACGATCGCTTTCTTATATACGATAGCAGCCGCATGATAAAGGCGAGGACAAGCGGTGAGAATACGAAGGCACAAGAAGAGCGGGGAAAGGAAGAACCGTTTAGGAAATGGTCGTGGCCGAAGGACGAGAATTTCATCGTTATTTGCGTCAAGAAAAAAAAGAACGAAATTCCAAAAACTCCAGAGATTAAAAGCAGCTGAAAATTAATGACCAGCTGATATTTTGTCTTTTGACTTGATTGTTAGGATCGTTGTCAATTTATTTGTAGAATAAGATATTGTCGATAACAATACACACACATATATATATATATATATATATATATATATATTTTGAAAACAAATTTTCTAGAAACCGCGACAGGATCATCAATTTTGGAAAATTAAAAGATTTCCACACACAAATGTCTTTGTATATAATACCTATTTCAATAATTGTAAAAAATACAAATTTTTCTTGTATTTTATTAATTTGTAAAATTTTTAAAATAACAAGTAATTAATAGTATTTATATAGCAATATGAATCATAAAAATAGTTATAACTAATTAATTAGTTTATACTATCTTGATTGGAATTTGTGAAGGACAAATTATTCTTTGATACTTATCAATTCTTCATTGTATGTTAGTGAATTTCTGCTATTATATGAGATCATTCTATTCATTATTCATACTAAATTAGTCATACTAAAAGAATATAATGTAATATAAAAACAATTTTTCTTTTTAACACAATTCGAGTAGATTTTAACAAGATTTAAATAAGAGCAATTTAAAGTTGATAAATGAACACTCAAAATTATTCATAAAGAATGTGTAAGTACGTTGTTTGACATTTATCTATTTATTTTATTTTCAATTTTATTATTTATTACTTTATTAATATCAATTAGACTTTTCTTTTTTTATTAAGCTATATTCAAATAACTTTTTAACATGTCTTACAGCATTAGTATCAGAAGGGATTAGCATGTAAAAATCTAAATAAAGATATAAGCAGCAAGTTCTAATCTCTCATCATTTTGCAGAGGAAAAAGTAGATCTTGGAATATAATCCTGCATCCTTTCGCGATTCCTAACGTCTCTCCTAATATAAATAACGAGTGGTCTTTACCTTAAAACTTGCAACAGAAACACGAAGACCACGACAACCGGATCCCAAGTTCAATGTCAATGCCCTAGACGCGCTTCGTTCCTCGACGTGCTTACAATTGATACTTTTCCTTGGGAACAAGTTTGTAGGGACAGGAAAGTTGGCGTGAAATAAGAACGCGTGTCTCGCACACGTTTTATAGGTATTTTATTTTTGGCATATTATTATTAGGTAAAATTATTCGGTTAAATTTTTATGACGCGTATCACGCGAAACCAATCACGCGAAAGTGGGAACTCCGTTTTTCCTTATATAGATATGTTTGCGTGTACAATTGAATAATGAGACTTGTTACTCATTAATGATTTTACATAGATGAAATTCCCGCTGTATCATTGATAAGTAACATTCGTAATGCCTTTTTATTTCAAGTTTTATTTGTTTCTTTTCTGAAGTTTTTTTTCCTGCATTTTCCTGCTATATATCTTGCGAAATTGATAATATTTTCCTGTTACAAAGTTGATAACATTTTTTTTGGTAAAGTTCTTTACCAAACTGAAAAAATCATTTTAAATCAATATTCAAATATATCGTTTATTGCCTCCTTTCTTCAATGTCGATTAATTTCTTCTTATCTCGTTTCGCTTTTTTGTGAACGACCATTACTGCGAAAATAGCGTATTTTAATGGTTTGTATATATCACATATATTACTTTATGAAACTGTCATTGCAGACGAGAAGTCCGAAATTATAAAATAAAATATGTATTGTAAAATAAAATATATAATTGTAAAATAAATTAAAACATGATTTTTATATCTTAGACATTACAAGAATATTTTTAAGAGGTCTATATAATTACAGTGCAATAATAATAATTATGAACATTTAAATACTTTAATATTTGTTTCTATATCGATTAAAACTTTTTTCTTTTTGGATATATTCAAAATTATTTATTTTAAATAAATTTTATAATATTCTTATTTTTTATTACAAATGTTTTTATTAATCTTCTTTTAACTAAAGCTAAATGATAAGTAATAAATCTATAAATTGATGGAAAAAAAGTCAAATCAAACGTAAAAATGTTAGAAAATAAATAACACATGAAGTGTTAATATTCTAAGTATATGATTAAAAATCATATACCTAAAAATTAACATTTTATAATTGCTAAGTGTTATATAATAATTTCAATATATTTTTCTTTTTGTTATAAAACATTTTTGTATATATAGTTCCTATATTAGTTTATATTAATAATTACAATATTAATAATTTCATATTTTATAATTTAAAATTTTTCAGTTATATTCTATTTATTTTGGCACAATTGACGTGTTTACAAATATTTTGTAAGAGACTTTATAAGAATCTAATAAAATAAATAAAATATACATGAAAATGAATGAACATGAATGATCTTTTTTATGTGTTGCATACATCCGCTGAAATATTAATCTGTTTGATAATTTGTAAATATTATATATGTAATAGGTATTAAAATAAATATATGCGATGAAGTTTCAGTAGCATTGTATTACTTTTGTAAGGAATCCTTCGGGTATATTAAGAGAGTAACAAATTGTATATATACAAACAATTAATATTTATTAATCCAATAGTAAAAGTAATGAGCTGTATTTGTTCCTTAGATCTTGTTGAACGAAGCAATGTCTACAGATTGAACTAATTCCTCAAATTCTTGAATCTGTTCAATCAGCAAATCTACTGACACTTTCTCATCTTCTATAACACACATTATTTGTAATTTATTTATACCATAACCCACCGGAACAAGTTTTGCTAAAAATATGAAAAAATCAATTAAGTAATTCACTTATATGTCTATGTACATGTAAATAGAGCGTGAAATATAACTTACATGCACCCCAAACAAGACCGTCCATCTGAATCGATCTTACTGCATTTTCCATTTCCTTCATATCGGTTTCATCTCCCCAACTTTTCACGTCCAAGACAATACTCGATTTGGCAATAACCACAGGTTTCTTTGATTTTTTCTCCGCGTATGCCTTTAACCTTTCCTCTCTAATTTTTGCGGCTTCTGCATCTTCCTCTTCATCTGAACCAAATAGATCTAAGTCATCATCATCATCGTTTGCTTTCCCTGTAGACGAAGTTGGGGCACCAGTAGTGCTAAAGATGGCAGGTGCTTTCTTTTCGCCGGGAAGTGACTTAAGATCGTAGGATTTTATGTGATTATACCAACGGAGTACATGAGGATTTGAAGATGTCGGTGCTTTTTCCAATGCCTCAAGTACTGCAACATCAGCCTGAGTTGGTTGCCACCTAACAATTATAAATTCTTCCATGATACATTATTTTATGTTAAAGCCAATTCTTATTGTATCAGCTTAAATATCAGTAAAATATCAGTAAAAATAATGACCAACATTATATTTATAATGCTATGATTAAAAATTATACCATTGCTTTAATATTATAGATGATTAAATTTGATATTACTTTTTTAATGTCATTATAATCCTTACTATAAATAAAAAGATAAGTAATAATACATTTTCTACAGTAAAATGTTAAAAAACAAAGTTATGAATACAAATCTTTTTAATATCAAATCTTTATTGAATAATGATAAAATATTTTTTATTTTATATATATTATACTTACAGAATGTCAAAGAGGAAAAATAATACAACAGGAGCAATAGATATTAAGTATGTTCTGATCTGCATATGCAAGGAATTGATATATCATTGATATCCTTATTCTCACACATGTTCAATTATATAGACATGTTAATAATCAAATATGAAACCATAAATAAACTTCGTCAAAGAACTAGTGAAATTGATTTTATGAAAGGTTCGCCTCAAAGAGGGTAACCAGATCAAAAAAACATAAAAATAAATGTAAGGTGTGCAATAGACCATTCGGCATGTGTATGTGTATGTGCTGCGTGTGTGACACATGTCCATACGTGACACTGAAAACATAGCATTCTACTTAGGTAGCACCAAGGGCTTTAAATGGGAAGATTGCACAAGTGCGTGTGACGGAATCGTGAAAAAATCACGACGTGAGTGCACTGTGATACATGCACTCAGAGTGAGAGTCAGAAATATGCCAAAATGCCGACAAGCGGAGCACGTGTACCGGGGACATACGAGTCAGGTCGAAAACATGCTAGAAGTAAGCTCACCCCTCGATATAACTGCGTTCAGCGAGGTAGGTGTTGAGATCCTCGACACCTTTATCGGTCTTCAGGTCACCGACGGCCATGGCGAAAACGTGTTCCAGGCGAGTAAATAGTTAACCGTGAGTTCGACGAGTCAGTAACGGAGATCCCTTCGTCTGGTCGCCGGAAGAGAGAGCTGCGCGCGGCGACGGATCCGAACCCGGTTCGCGTACTCGATTTGAGGTAACTTGAGAGCAGTGACGTGACGTTTGTTCCGGCCACAGTATAACCACAGTATAACCAGTATGGGCACTCAACTATGAAATGCAGATTTGCGCAGATTCATTCGCGCAGGCCATGCTATTAGGTGCCTCCAATGAAATTAAATACGACAGGAAAGTATATAGGCTGCGTTTCGATGTTCACTGCCATACTGAAAATATATAGTTTAAGTCACGTATATTATAGATTTTCAGTACTGGCGATGAATTTCGAAACGCAGCCATAATAGTGACATACAACAGAGCATCGAGCTATACAGTATACTGGAGTGAACCATTCCTATACTAAACTAACTATAGAAAACCGCGACCCAGCGGAGAAAAGAATGGACACTAAAGTTAGAAGCTTCATCTCTTTTCTACAATATACTATCTTATACTAGGAGAATAACATTAACCAATCAGGAAATCTCTTGACTAAGGCTGCGTTCCGATATTCACTATCAGTATTGAAAATTTATAATATACGTGACCTGAACTATATATTTTCAGTACTGGCAGTGAATATCGGAACGCAGCCAAAGAGAGCGATTCCAACTCGCACGTTGTCTTTTTTTAGTAAGTGAGAC